TACCCAGGATATCGTTCCCTTATCTGGATTTTCTTTTCCTCATTGGCAGTGAGGCTAAACGGTCACACAAATCTTGATAAATCAACCCGGAGTACAGTCTGAAAACAATCCAGCTGCCTCAGACCAATCAGCAGCGTGTGTGGCATGTGCTCTGTGAATGTGTATGCGCTTTAAGTGCTTTGTTCTGTAAGACTGGAAAAGAGCTACTGTATTAAAGTTTAGCCTATTTAAAGCCCAAAACTTTCTTCAGGGTCTCAGTGGGGCGTTTTCATTGGGTTATAAGTGTGGACTGCAGATAGGCACTCAAACACTTTGACTTTGGAGGCACTGTTAGAACAATGACAGCAGCACAAACTACATCTGCTGTTGAAGGCAGTGTGATATGGATTGGAACAAGTCAGTAAATGACCCAGACCAGTGATCTGATTTTTTTAGCTTCTTTGCAATCTCACACCTCCTTCCCTCTTTTATTTCTCTCTTTCGTCCCTGCGCCTCTCTTTGTGTCCCACTCTATATTTTGCGTCTCTTACACAGGTGAGCTGTCACACCTCTTGCTCTCAGCACCTTGCAATTACTCCCTCCGCTCTTCAACACTCACACATACACCTAAATGCCCCTTGGCATGCAAGATAGAAGATAACGCTGCTTTTCGAGCACACAGACACTGAAAAACGAGAACGTCCGAGGATAGCAGAAGCTAATATGTAGTTCAGAGGTTAAAATAGAAACTGTGGTGGAACAAAATGACCAAACTAAGTCAGCAAGTCTTTGTGGTGATGGCACATTTTGTTTTCTTTTCTCTGGCTGATCATTGGGATGGGTAAGAGTTTTCTGAAAGTATTTCTATTTGAAGGAAATTTGAATTTGTTAAATTTTCTTAAAAAACATGCAGATTTTTTTTCAGTTTTCCCTAAAGCTGGTAAAAGTGAACGTAATACCATAAGAATATTGTAAAAGCCTTTTTAAAAAAGTAATGGTTGTGACTCTTTCTTCCTGTACAGTGTGAACATCTTAAATTAATCCACTTGCTTTGTATTAGATCATTTAATAGCCTGTTAACATGGAGATTTAAGAGCAGCTACAAATGCAGCTCACATGGTGATCCTGCAGGCAATTGAGTTTTAATACACATTTGCTGATGAAAGCAAATAATAAGGGAGAAATTGTGATTGTATAGAATAGAAGGACTTTTTTTGTTAAAGACTCGGGATGAGGAAAGTGTTTCATAAGTAGTTACAGTGTACAGATGCTTTAAATAGGCAGCAGTATGCTTGACAGATCCAATAAAAAATGAACAGATGGGCATGGTTGAAGTAATATAGAATCAAAGATGTAGAAAAAACAAAGCCACGTGATTAAAAAGAATTAAGCTTTTCTTTTGCTAATAGTATGAGTCTGGGTGTATATGGAACTGTAGAAAGGTCTGACAAGAGTTACAACCAAAGTTCCCTCTAATTTTTCATGTGTCTGAGTGAACACACAAACTCCCTGAGCGGTCCCTTGGACCACTGTGAGCAACAGCAGACGTGTGCACTGTGGTCACGCCAGCATCGAATCCACCCAAGTTACATGGTTTATTAAAAGAATCAAATTACAGCATTTACATTTATGTTAGACTACTTTTAATTAACTGCTTTAGCCCACTTACAATGAAAATTTAAAAAAGAATCTAGTCATTGGCCTGTGTAGTATGTTAATACTATTGGACGGAAAAGTAACTTGAACTCCAATTTTGAAAACACAACTTTATTTATTTATTCATTTATTTATTTGCTCTGACTTGCATTATGAGTATGAGTCTGTGGTCTGGGAGAGAGTCCTGTAACTCTCTGTCTGCAAAATACAGTATATAATGACCAACGTTGGGCAATTCATTATATAGTTATGCAAACAACAAAGTTTTTTGCAGCTGTTTACCTAAAAATGCAGCCAAGGGCGATTGTTTAAATAAACATTTCAAAACTATTTACAGAACAATCAGGTGTTCTTCATCAAATTTGATGCCGCACAAATTATTTGTGCCACTCCAAAAAATAATTTCTGTCCACTATGAGATAAAGGAGAACAACAGCCTGATACCTGCAGGCCTGACAACAGGAGATGTATCACTGCTGTAACACCTTAACATTCAGCAGTCGCCTCATTGTTCTGACACACACAACAAAACTATTGACTACACAACATGCTAACTACACAAGATTTGCGCTAAACGTCGCAAATCTCTCACATCTCAAAACACCGCTGTCACTCCTAACACTCCCCCCCCTTCCTAAACAACTAAATGCCATGTTGCTATATCATTTTTTTATTGGTCCACAGAGTACATTTTTCCACCAATAGGAAAGGGTGGAGGGGTGTGTGTGTTTTTGCTCACAGGCGGAGAGTGCTTTCGAGGTTTTCCTTATAAAACGCTGTTTTTACGGTTTCTTCCGTAAAAACAGCAGTAAATATAAACAACAATAGTATTCAGGAAAAAAACAAACATTGCGTAAATTTTTATCATAACTCTGGTTTTACGTGGCCCATCAACACAATTTAAAAACTGGTATAGTTTTTAAATTGTGGCATAGTCCACACTTTTTCCGTCAGTTGTTCCGTCTGTCCTGCTCACATCTCCAATGGTTGTACACGTTGTCATGAACGTGGCTTCACTCCACATCAGCCACGCCGCTTTGCTAGCTAAAACACCGGTGTCAGCACATAAGGACGCTGTCATAGCCTGTCAATGACGTTGATTAGCTGCGTATATACGAATGTGAATCACATCAGCGGCTGGACTATGGGATAAGGTGGCATCGTCTAATCCCATACTGGAGCAGCCAGTCACTTACTGACTAACACTGGAAAATAGAATTGTTAACTTATTTATTTTAATTTCAATTCAGGTTAGATTTTTTTTTCTATGTGCGCAACACAGATTTTCTGTGCACAGAGACCATGCCAACACTGCGCAATTGAGCATGCACGCAGCTTAGAGCGAACATTGGTTACAACTGATTTAAAGTGTGGGGGATTCATATATAGAAGAGTAGAAAAATCCAAATACAAGTAAAAGATATCATGAATATTTTGAGACAACATAGACTTTTTAAATTTAGTTTTGACTGAGTGAAGAAGTTGTTAAAGTAAAAGCTAAACTAACCTTTGGTTAATGCTGAATATTCTGTTGTTATGGCAACCTTTTTGTTCACCATTTTGCATGCTAACCTAGCTAGCAACCTACCTAGCTAGCTAGCCCTTATTTAAAACTGACCTTCTAGAAAGTGTTACTGCTCCGCAGACTTCTTGGTGACACCTCCAGGAAGTAACTTTGGGTTAATGAGACACTTCTAAATCTGTCTGAAGGTATGGAGGTTTTGCACACACGTGTCCATCTGATGCTAACTGCTCTGCCAATTTGAAGGTCTGTCAATTATCATGATATGTACAGTCAAGTGATTAAGAATATGCTGACTTCTTTACAAACACTTGCAAACTATTCTCTGAGGATACTAAAACTGTGAGACCCTTGGCCTTCAAAATAAAAGTTGCACTATTTGAAACACTGAGGCACAACTTTTAGTTTGAAGGTGAGCAGTCTCCCATTTCCATTGCACTTTTTCAAGTTTTACTCAAACTTGGTTAGTAGAGAAGTTAGAGTAGATCTTAGGTAGATAGTAAGTGCATCTAATTAATCTAATTTTGAATCTTATTAAGAATTTTGGTGATTTTAGCCCCAAAGAGTTTTTTTTAACCCTTAAGGTTATATTTCTGGTCAAGTGCAAAGTAATTAATTTTTTTAGTTTAATTTTAGTTTTAGTTATACAGCGCCAAATCACAGTTTCCTTGAGGCACTTTATACTGTAAGGTAAAGACCCTAAAATAATGCAGAGGAAACAAGGGAACCCCCAACAATCAGGTGACCCCATATGAGCAAGCACTTTGGCGACTGTGGGAAGAAAAAACTCCCTTTTAACAGGAAGAAATCTCCAGCAGAATAAGGCTCAGGGCGTGAACAGTTGGGGGTGAAAGAAGGAAGATGGGACATAAAATACACTGTGAAGGAGAGCCACAGATTAATAATAACAAATGATTAAGTGAGTCAAAAAGGTGAGTGAAGAAGAAAAAAGTAACAAAACAATGAAAATGTTTCTTGCTCTTTGTACTAAAACACTTATAAATATAATAAATATAACACATGCTACTGTAACCCAAAACAGCAGTAAGCACACTTATACTGCAACCTTAGTATTATTATACACTACACAGGTCCTGTAGTTGTAATGTCGATGGACAACTCAAATGATGCCTAAATTAATCAAATTATTAATTTAGCAGATGAACCAATAATATTGTCTTGCTTTTGTTTTGGCTTTGTGTTGTTCACTACATATGCACACTGAGACGTGCTCTGCAGTACCATCAGTGAACACTGGGAAACATCTGTATTAAGACTAAACTCTGTTTCCAGCTTGCTGTGATTTATGTTCATCCCTGCTTGTGATGTGATCTCATCTACTAACTAATCTGGAATTTATTTATTTCTGTTACTTCCCTTCTTCCGTCTTCTCTTTTTCTTCTTGTCTCTGGGTGTTTATGAAACAGATTTCCCAAGAGCATTTCTGTTTTTATTGTTTGCAAAAGTGAAGACATTTTCAGCTTAAGCGGTTACTTCTTTGTCCTTGTATGTCCTATCTGAGAAAGAGACGATCTCATGTCCAAAATCACACCCTATTTATTATACAGTGCATTATTTCTACCTTACACTGATTTCAGCATAAGTAGGATAATCTATCTTACTTCATCTCTTTCACATTTAAATATCATTTTTTGTGTGTGGTTGGTCTAATATTATTGGCTCTGTCTCACAACTGCTTCTGGGAAAACCATCAAATGGCAAATAGCTGTAAAACTTTATTGGTGATTAATTGCACTGCCTACCTCCCAGGCATAAGAGGGGCTTTGTGCTAAAGCCCTGGAGGTCTGGTGATGATTAATAATCAGATAACCTCTTGTCCCAGCCTCCACAGGCCAGTGGAGGATGAACCGGAGCAAAGTCGGGGTCTCTGCAGCTATGGTCAGACGACTTCCTGTTGTTTTGGATGGAAGAATGTTAACAGCATTTGTGAGCGTAAGTCATTCTGCAGTTCAGTAATACAACAGCCCCAATTATCCAGCTCCTGAGGTCACTTATGAGCTCAGGAGAGAAAGAAATGTGAGATATTATGACACGTACTTTATAATAAGCTGTAACAACCTGAAAGACAGTATTGCTCTTGAGACATTTTTCTGATATTAATTAAATGTGTATATTTTGTATATTTACATTTAAAGCTGTATGCAAAATGTAAAATGTATGCTGAGAGTTAACTATTCCCCTTGGTTTTATGAGGTGCTTCAGTTTCTTTCAGCACATAATTTATGGCTCAATTAGTCTAGTATTATTAGCTCTGTTTCAAGATGCAGGAAAAAACACCTCACAATTCATTCCGATAATTTTATCAGCAGTCACATCACCAATAAACACTAGTGACTCGCCTCCACTGGCAGTCATACATGCCTATGCTGATGATGATGTTATATGCTTTGGCATGATCGAGTTTCTCTCTTCGTGTCATTCTGGTACAAGTTAAGCTTGAATTGTAGAGATTTTCTTCCCCCAGAACTTTGCAGGCTCTTTTAGACGTTTCCTGGGAAACTCTAATCTGGCCTTATTCTTCTAGAGTGTAACCAGTGGTTTGCACCTTGTTGTGTATGCACATTGATGAAGGCGCCTTTTGATTGAAGAACTCCTCGATGCCATTCTTGACTTGGTTAAATGTCATGACATTGTTTTACTTAACCATGGAAATAATTCTGCAATCAATCACATGCGTGTTCCTCTTTGATGTTTCGGGCCTTTTATTGTTGCTGAGCTGGTCAGTGCTTTCAATGTTTGTAAAAATGGACCAGATTATTGATTGTGCCACTTTAATACGTTGATTTTGTTTTTTCTAATCATGACCTACCTCTCTTGTACTGACATGTCTTTTGAGCTCATGTTGACATTTCCACTTGGAAGCAGCCAAAGATCTTTTATCTGCTTAATTTGTAATTAAATAATGAGAGCCCCTGGCTATGAAACTTCTTGTTAGTCATTTGTCTTAACACTTTTGAGCCTCTAAAAATGGCGGACTGTGCATACAAATGTCTGTAATTCCTAAATAGTTAATGCAATGTGTTTTGTGAAATCCCTTGAAAGTCGCCACTTCAACCAAATCTTGATTGTTTGATTTAAAATTGTCAGACTACTGTTTGGCAATATTTCTATGAGAACTAACTTTATTAACTGTCCTAATATATAAAAAATAATGATAGAATTGTATTATTTCTTCTTAAGTTGTCTCTTAGTACAGTTAACCACAGTGTAAGCCATACTATGTCAGATAATTGCATCAAAAATGACCCAGAATGCACCGCTATGAGACAAAGCTTCATTCAGTGAGTGTAACCAGCTGAGCTGGAGGTCCTCACCCATAGACACCTGTTTAAACACCTGTTTTAGCACACATTATTGTCATCAGGTTTAATCATTAATGCAGTTTAAACTATTCAGTTATATAAACATTTAGCTTGCTAACATAGCTCACATTAGGTTTTTCTCCATTATCCTGTGCACGCTTTACATGCTGCTTTATGTAGCTCATACCAGTGTGCAGAAGTTACATTGTGTCTGTTGTTGTCCGCAGCGGTGTGCAAGAGATCCTGCATAAATGGGAAATGTGTGGGACCGGACAAGTGTTCATGCTCCATGGGTTATAAAGGACCGCAGTGCAATGAAGGTGGAGTATCATTTACAAAATCGTTGTCTGTCTTATGTTTTTGATTTCTTAACCATTACCTGCGTCATTCTGCATCATTTACCACAAGGATTTCTATCTGCCGCTTGAATAATGTTTCATATTGACTCCAGATGTGAATGAGTGCGGTTTGCCGGAGAGGCCGTGTTCCCAGCGCTGCATGAATACGCACGGTAGCTATCGCTGTTACTGTGAACCTGGATACACACTCAGTGCAGATGGATACACCTGCACCAGTGAGTAATTTTCTGTGGAGGGTATTAGATTATTCTGTTCAGCCCAAAGATTCAAAGAATTGGGAGATTTCAACAAGGGGAATGCTTAAAATCCACATTAAGAAAAGCCTGCGTGCTGGCAGATTATATTTCTCTCCGATCAGTTTTCTACAAAAAGCTTTCCACCGTCTTCATACCATAATAGGAGGTTAAAGTGTCCGAGGACTCAGCTTACACATCCTTTTAGCCTCGCATAAATGTTTATGGCTGAAATTTACAGTTTATATTATGGAAAGTGATATCATAACAAACCTTGGCGGTGACAGGGTCAAGAGCAAAGAGCATAAATTAGTGATTCATGTAAGATTTTAGTTTTTAAGGAGCATTCAGTTATCGTTTCTGTTTACAGCTTCATTACTGGTCTGAGTGTTGCAGAGCATGCGCTCGTGTACTGTGTGGTGGCATGACAGTGTGTGTGACCCTCTGACCGATCCTCAGCCAGTGTTTCCCTGTCTGTCTTCCAGGAGAGGCCGCATGTTCCTCCCTGCACTGCCAGTTTGGTTGCCAGATGGAGAGAGGGGGAGCGCCGCGCTGTCTGTGTCCCCCCGGCCTCCACCTGGCTGCTGACAACAAGACCTGTGAAGGTAGTGCCTCCTTAGAAACACCCTCAGTATGTCACCCCGTTTAGATTCTAACTTTTCACAGTTTTTATTCACCCGATAATCAGACCGGTAACTGTTCAAATCTGTATTTTTTTTTTAATTTACCCATGCAGTAAATATCATTAACAGGTCTTTACAGAATGTCTCTTAATCACACTGCTACTCTAGAAAAATATGTTTGATTCATTAACAATTATACACCTACTTCTAATCGTTCTTTCCTCAGCAAAATATCAGAACTTTTTCGCTTTTTCACCTTTGATACTGTTGGTCATGACATTTTAATTTAATTTTAATTTAAGGCTTAGGTTTGGTTTAGGTCAGGTTCTTGATAATCCTACTTAAAGAATAGAGGTTGTTGTTTTTTTTAGTTCCAGTAACTAATTTTAGATCTGCACATATAAAAATTTAATCAGGTGTTCCTCAAGGGTCTGTTCTTGGTCCATTACTCTTTAACCTTTACCTTTGACCTCTACATGCTCCCACCTGGTACTTTTATAAAAAAAAAAATCACATATTCTACCATTCTTATGCAGATGATACACAAATGCACGTATTGTTTTCCTCTGATGATCTAACCCGTTTTCAAAAATAATAAGCTGCACATTAAATAGTATTTTATTTCTTTATTTTGTTGTTTTTATTGCCTTTAACCCACAAAGGTGTCATGTTTTATCGTTTATGTTGAGCACATTGAGTTTATGTATAATCTAACGTGCTATATAAATAAAATTGCCGTTGCTGTTGCTGTTAGTTGTCAATGTGACATTATTCTCGTATATGGGAGAGAGTGGGTTTTTATTTTCCAACTGATGTCTGTCTAAAGAGCTAAAGAGCTTTGATTTATAATCATCAACTTACTATCAGGTCTGAATAAATGCTTAATTAGAACTCGTAGATGAATCTATTAGGAAATGTTTGCTCAAAGCTTAAAAATAAAAATAAAGCCTCCACACTCAGTTGAGTGTGATGAAAGCATGCACATTATGTCAACTACCTGCAGCTAAGTTACCAGACATCCACTGATCTGTCCACCCAGTGGTAAAAATAGCCTTTAATAACCTAAAATGAAGGGAATTACCTAAAATGCTGGAGTCCCTCTCGATAACTCCTGACGACTCCTGTCCTGTAATGAAGCGAACCTCGCAGCTGTTAAGGCGCATTCACACACTCTTTGTGGGAGCTAGTCAACTTCAAAGGCAGTGGGAAGTCACTGTTTTTTGTTTTTCTCTCACTGAAATACTGCTCTATTTAAATGACACTGGGACAAATGACAAATAATAATTAAAAAATCTGCAGGTGTTCCTCCTCTTCCTTAAAGTAAGTATATTACCTAGGAAAGAAATATTTGGTTGTCAGCTTATTAGGTACAGAGACATTTAAAATAATTCAAATATAACACACAAAAAAATCCTTTATCGCTCAGGGTTAGTGCAAAATATTAGAAATTCCTTTTAGTACTTCTCAAATAATTTTCTGAAGATGCTCTGTTTTTTTCAGTAGGATCTTATATGCATCAATGAAGCCCTCAGTAAAGATAATTTATAAGTTCAGCTTGTAAGTGGCAAAAACTGCAGTTCCTTTAGTGGCCACTTGAGGCTGGCTCCAGAAATGAGTTAATCCCTATAAACTCCCATGATAAAATGCCCAATTTTTCAACACTGAAAAGCATATTTACAACCTGGTAGAGGGGGCAAAATCATTTTGGCCTTTGTGGATGGTTTCCCTTCTTCTTTTTACAACTCATCTACCTTGATAATTGAGTTAGGGGTGTGGTTGTGTTGATTGAGAGGTGTCCCATCTAGAATCTGCGAGGCACTCTACCCTCGCATCCATATAAGGTAGCTTCTCCAAAATACCAAACATTAATGATGAAGATTTGAAACTGGTAATCTAAAACCAAACTTGTGACGTAATGTTGGTGATGTCCAGGTTTTATTCAATCTATACCCCGCTTAAAGTGTCATAAACAGGTCGGCTTTAAAAACTAGTTCAGCTCCATAGATCTGTGGTCTTGGTTCACAAACTTTATGATTTTATATTTTCATGAGTGACTTGCAGGGTGTGCCAAAAACCCATACACAGCTTCATGGTCCACACCTGAATTTGTATGCGTTTGGGTCATTCCTTGTCTTTTAACAGCGCACCTTTCAAAGCAATGACGTGAGGTCCAGGTACTCATTTGTGTGTTTTAGAAGGTAATTGCTGTTTTGAGCGAAGACAAGAAAGCACCTTGTCCTGGAAAGACATGCGTGTGTGTGTGTGTGTGTGTGTGTGTGTGTGTGTGTGTGTGTGTGTGTGTGTGTGTGTGTGTGGTCCAGGTGTGGACTCATGGTATGGTTTGGACTCTGTTCACAGAGTCACAATATGTGGTCATGTCTTCTTCATGGGGAAAAACTAAGGCGTCATCATCAAACATTAAGGTGAACACACGGTTTAGGCTTAGGGTGAGATTAGATTTAGAGTTTAGTGTAAATCTCCAGGAAATGAATGTAAGTCAGTGTAAGGTCTTCTGAAGTGATGTATACTGAGCTGTTGTATCCCCCAAAATAACAAAAACTTCAGTGATGTGCAAGTCAAACATTTATTTGCGTTGTGTTCCAGATGTAAACGAGTGTCAGCAGGATGTGTGTCCACCACGGCGGACGTGCAAGAACACTTTTGGCAGCTTCGTTTGTGTGTGCAAAGACGGTTTTGTGATGGGGGCGCTGGAGGGCTCCGTTAAATGCCGAGGTAAAAAGCAATGTTGTTGAGCAGACTGTCACGTGTGTATGTGTGTGTGTGTGTGTGTGCGTGTGTGTGTGTGTGTGTGTGTGTGTGTGTGTGTGTGTGTGCGTGTGTGTGTGTGTGTGGTGTGTGTGTGTGTGTGTGTGTATTTTGTGGTTTTTTTTCTAATTCATAGAATTTTGTTGTCTTCTTGGACTTGAATGGTTGAGAAAATCTGAAATACAGCGAGAGAGCAAAGAAGATATAACATTTCCCACCAAAGTGAAGCCAGAAGTGATATGAATTTTTGAAAATCTCTTTCAAATTGGTTCCATGTCAGCCCCGTAAATGACTAAATGGATCACAGCACCATCCCCACATGTTCTCCTCATCTGCGCTAATTGGCAGAGGAGAGGGATCATGTGAAGATGTGCTTTGGCAGCAGAGAATCCAGAGACCATGTTTATTTGATGAGCACTCGTAGCTCACCCACTCAGCTGTGGGCTCACCCGCAAGCTGTTTTTTTTGTTTTCATCTGTGTGATGAACACTGCAAAATTATCTATTAGGCAGGTTTCGAGGAGTCAGTCCCAAAACCTTTTCGCTCTCTTCCCGCTGATCGATAAAACAACTGTAAAGCAGGTCTAGCATACTCGCATGCTGTGAGGCCATCAAACTATTATTTCCTTCTCTTCTTCTCCAAAGATGAGGATGAATGTTTAACCGGGGCTCACCGGTGCAGCCGCCATGCTCGTTGCTTCAACACCGATGGTTCCTACACCTGTCTGTGTTTGGAGGGATTCTTTGGCAACGGACGCACCTGCCAACCCAGGAGAGCCCCGCAGTCCAAGGCTCTCATGTACTTCAACTACAAACTCAGCAAAAGGACCAGACTCCTGCCACCTGCATCTTAGCTCAACTTCCTGCAAACTACATGGGTCAAATAAAAAAGGACATGCAACATTAAGGAATGATTTAATAAGCAAAAACAACAACATCACCAACAAAAAAACCACACGCACAACTGTAAAAATAGGCGGGAACACTTTGAGCCGACTTGTTTGTTTTTGTTAAGAATTTTCAGCTCAGCTGGAAACTTTTTTTGCATTTTCTTTTTTTTTTTTTTTTGAAAATATTCACAGCACCATCGGCTGCCTGTGTAGTATCAAGTAGACAAACCCTTCATTTAACAAGTGCACTGCAAAAGGACTGCAATGTGTATACTTTAATAGTATGTTTGAGCCCAAATAACCAGCTGGAGGCTTTAGTGCCGTGACTCATCTCAGAACCTCAGACACACGCCCCTGTTTGTACAACACAGCAAAGCAAAATCATTCATATATCGGGTCTGCATCACTAGTAATTTATAGATTTTTACCCCCTTTTAATGTAAATTTTCTCATGAAAAAAAGCGGTTTTGTGAGGCTTCAGATTTTGCTAATAAAAGGCTGACCTCTGGTGGATAGATAAGGGAAGATGCTGGATTTGTCCTACCTTCACTGTGAACTCTGAAGAATGCCAGTGAAACAAAATGCTACCAAAGGATGTGTACTTTGTAAGTCTACCATGTGATTATGGATTAATGCGATGTTATTTTTTTTTCTTAATTTCTAATTTAAAAAAAAAAACCTGTCCAAACAGATGGTATATAAACGTGATGGACTCGCTTTGGAAGCAACTAAAGCACAGACTGATGTTTTCCTACCTCACTGTTTATCTTCTGCCCCTCTCCCTCTGTTATGCCACAGGGAATGTTTTTCAGACCCACTAAGTCACACGTGGGGCAGACTACCACACAGCAAGAGAGCACAGACAGGTCAGACCAACCAAATACCAGGAATCCTTGTCTGTCAGCAGCTGTCTGGAAACCTCTTCCTGCTTTCAGAGAGCGCACGAATGGAAATTGAAGTTTGCTTTTTGATGTTTTTCTCAGGTCAATTTCAAGTTTCCTTCCGAATGATTAAGATCGTGACCCTGGGAGAGGGGGTGGGCGGGAGGATTGCAATAGTTGAGGATAATAACTGTAATGATAGGAGATGGTGGTAGAGGGCACTGTGTGTTGTGTCAGGGCCCTCGGTTGTAGTCCCCGAGGCTTTGATGCTCACGGGGAGTCGGGTTTGTAGTGAGAACAAGCAGCTGCTGCCTGCTGAAGGGCCCTGCCACTGACCCTATTCATCCCAACAGCAGGTGTCACGTCGAGTCCCCGCCTCAGCCTCGCGCGCACACATTCACACATGTGCCTCCCCTGCGCACACGCGTACGCCCATGTGCAAAATCACAGAGCTTTGTGCGCATTTACGCACACACAGACGAGTGTGTGTGTGAGAGAGAGAGAGAGTGAGGGGGGGCCTGGAACTACTTACAGAGAACAAAGAGGGAAATCAGGAAAAAATGCAGCCTCTTAGAATAAATCTCACCACAATGCTGAGAAAAATCCCCAACCTCACCCCCAGAAACGCAAGAAAAACCTGGTTTCTCTCTTTCAAAGCACTCAAAAGTGTCTTACAAAAGCAGAAATAGAAAACATTTTAGATAAAAGGATCCAGGCCCCTTTTACTGAAAAGGACCTCACACCAAGTTGTGTGTAATTCCTACCAGAAACTGGTTTATTTACCAAAAAAATAATAAGATTTAATGCCAAGGCACTTAGGCTACAAATAAAGGACAACAAGTAGTGGGTACACTGAAAGGGGAGGGAGGGGAGGGAGGTGAGGGGACGCCGGGGTGGAAATTTTCCTTTTTTCTTGTGCTTGTTATTTTCTGGTCCTCTGTTTACACGACACACAAGATTTCTCATGGAGGGGCAGCAAAAAAAGGGGGGGTGTGGGGGGTGAGCCGTGCAGTATGACCTCGGTGAAATAAAAGGCAACAATAAACACGTCAGAGGAATTTGGACGTGTCTGCGGTGACACAAGCTCTCACAAAACGAGCCCGATTTCACGTACGACTCTGAGGAGCTGCTGCTTGCTGCCTGGCCTCGCCTTATATAAAGCAAAATCAACATTGTTGTCCCGAGAAAGTGAGCAATGATGCTGACAAGTGCACGGAGCCAATGACAATACATTAACGGAGATGCTAGGAACAACCGTGCCACCCAAGTTGCTGAAAGGCCTTTCAAACAGCACCACTGAAGTGTAAAACCACTAAAAACCCCTGTCCTTCCCCTTACTGTCCTTTTCACTTTCGTTTGGAACGAGCCAGTGTTTTCTTATTTTTTTTCTCCACAGCTAAAACTCGCATTATGTTCCGATTGGACCCATCTCCTCTTACACACACTCGCTGTGAGGAAGAACATAAGGTGGCGTTTCCATGAATGAATTAAAGAACGAAATGCTGACCAATCCCACTCGGGGGTAGAACAAGCCAAAAAGCTTGAACCCTTGGCGTAAAATTATAAATCTTGTTAGGAAGACTTTTCTCGTTTCTTGCCTCTGCCTACAGAAATCCACCCCGGAGTGGAGAAAGTGTGACGGCTCACTGCCTGTGGTAACCTCCCCGGGTTTCTTTCTTTCTTTCTTTTTATGAATTTGACTGAAATGAGCTGAATATATATTGAGAAAAACGAACGGCTCATTTGTTTCAGTCACATCACAGCAGCCTAACTAACCCATTTAGCCCAGTTTTGACATGGTGATAATTAAAGCTTCCTGTTATCTTAAAGGCAGCAGTGTCCTCTCAGTCACTTTTAAATCACATTATGTGGAGTAAATACTTTCCACTGTGTGACCCCCAGAAGGGCTTTCTTGTCATTCCCATTCATACTAACACAGTCCTGATGAATGTTTTGCTATGTGGTGGGTAATGTGTGTGTGTCTGTGTGTGTGTGTGCATGTGAGGCTGAAGGAAAACCTGATGTGGAAATATCCCCAAGACCTCAAACGTCTTTAAAGTTAACTCCCAGGCACCCTTCATTCTGCACACACCCACACTTCCTCTTTTCTTTGAAATGGATGGAGCTGTAGTGTAACAGTGACCCTAATTCATGTTACAAATCCACATGATGACTTTGAACTCAGTTTTCCTCTCCTTTCTTCTGTCAGCTCCCATTCTCTCCACAGAGTATGTAGGAGAACTGAAACAGCCACATCATAACATGAAAGCAGTCTCAACCTGACCGGAATTCGCTGTGCCTAAATCATTCTTAATATGCGAGCCGAGCAGCCTTGTTCGGAGGATTATCCTCAGTAGAACAGGAAAGATTTCCAGCTAATCTATATTGGAATGCCCACTCTGGAGAAGGTGAGGGGAAGTGGCTGGGACCAGAGGTTTCTTGGAAGCCAACACACTGGGTAGCGAGTAGGGCCCAGCCGCTAAGGAAAGCAGTGTACTTCTGTTCAGCTGCAGCCTGCGTGTCCTCCAGCAGGAGGGAAGCGTTTGTTTTGTTCTGCTGCAGAAGTGATTTGCTCTAATTAATTTAATTATCAACAATTCTGACCATCGTTTAATTCTGTGTTATTCATCAAGCAAACATTGGCCGCTTCCAGCTGCTCATGTGGTATGATCCATTGCTCAACTCTCTTTTGCATCATTGCGATGGTCTGGGGAAAAAAATGTGAGGGTTTGTTTTTATCATTTTATCACAGTTTGTTGGCTATGCTAGCTGTGTTAGCTCTTGACAACAAATATGTACAGATTAATCAGTCACAAAAATAATACTTTATTTTGTTTCACGTTTTCATTTCAATGAAAGCGCTCTGGTTTTAAAAGGTGGACCTAGTAACCACAGCGTTATCCATGTCATTCACTGGTTTGTGAACTAGCTTTGTCTTTAACAATGTGGTCATCACCATCTTGCTTTTAAAGCCAGAAGTAACCATATTGTGTTTTAACAAATATTTGGGGGGCCTTTATAATGAGCCTGTTGCTGTGTAGGGGAGCACAGAGCCACAGGCTCAAACCTCGACTGTTCCAATAGCCTTGTGGCACAAAGGGTCACCAGTTCAACCTGTACCCGAGTTGGACTTCTATAGATCAGCAAAGCTAGCTAGCTTGGTTAGCAGATGTGGTTAGCAGATAACTATATGAGTGGATCATGCACACACCTGATAAAAAACTGGAGCATAGTGTTTTTAAACATGCTGTCAGAGCAATTGACTACACGACAAGCTATTTTTAATTGCCATATATTTAAATTAAAGATGCCGCTAAAGCAGCAATTCCTAAAGTCAAGAGTGCTGCGGTCCGCTTAACAACCAATCCCAATGGGGCCCACACAATTGTAAATTTTCACTCTAATAAAAATACAAAAGAATGTGACATAACAAACCTTGATATTTTTATTCAAAAAGCATAAACAGCACAGGCTGTTGGCTGTAAATTGCTAATGCTACCCAATCATACGCTAAGTGTTAAGCCAAATGTGTGACCCGAAGACCATTGGGACACAAACTTCAATACAAGAGTGGTAAATTTAAGTCAAAGTAAAGAGTAATATATGTATAAGCTAACCACCTCTTGTTTCCAGATTTAATTCACTTCTTATGTAAATAAATAGATGCATATAAATGTGTAACTTTAGAGTAATTTCAAACTCAATTTCTGTTATTACTGCAGCCCTCCTGCAGTACCTTTGCAGCACACAAGGGGGCCCCCTGCCAACAGTTGGGAAATCACCGACCTAAAGGAAGCGATATCACAGTTGAGAAAATCCAGTTCTGCGATACATTTTGATCCAGAACTAATGATATTTGATGCAAATATGGCTAATCCAAATATTTAATAATGTGGGTGCGGTCACAAAAAGGGTGTCTTCTTTCTTTTATATACAGTCTATCTTTTAACCTGGGGAACCAAAGGGATTAACTCATTTTGGGAGCAAGGAATGAAGAATTTTTCATCACTATTTTGTTTTTTTTATAACAGGCAAGTCTGACGAAACAGATACATAACTACCAATGACAGGAGGGAAAAACAGTGAAAGAAAAGTAGGAAGGATGACAAGTCACAATCGCATTAGACAAGTTTGAT